CTAAAGATAATTGAAATTTTTATGGGGATTTTTAAAAATTTTTAAACATAATTGAATTTTTACGAAGAATTTTATTATACTTTTGAAAATAATTAAATTTCTACAATCATTTGTAATTTTTCTAAAAATCGCCAAATTATATCGTACAATTTGAGGACTTTTTATCCTTTTTGAATCAAATTTTGAATCAAATGACGGGTTAAAAGATTAAAATTCAACATTTGTATTTTTATTTAATTAAAAATATTAAAAAGTAGTTACAGATTGCAACTATTTTAAAATTAAATTAATTTTCAAGATAATTAGGTTGTTTCTTGCTCATAAAATTAAGGAAAAAACGACCTTAAAGCGAGTGACTATAATTAATTATAATTATAATTAACTTGTAGACTTTTTGACTTAGCAAGGCAGAGTTAGCATTATAATATCATTAAAATGCGAAATATGTTCAAGAGTAAATTCCTTTCATCACTTCAATAAATAACGAGACAATGATAATAAATTGAAAATCTTCATGACTTATTGCCGACAGATGTTTCTAGTAACAATAAATAATTCAAACTTATATTTCAATACTTTCTCAGTAAGTGTTACGAACGAGAAAATATTTAAATAATTAATATAGTTGATTTAACTATAATGATTATTTTGGGCTTTTGAGATGGCCCTATTTTCCAGTTTGTTGGAGGAATTCAAACTGCCAGAGCGTGAGCTCTGTTTAACTTACTGGGATTCGTGTTTCCTAGTTGCCAAAATTCAGAAATTTATTAGGAAGGGGGGGGGGGGTAAAGAGAATATAGGAAATTAATAGAAAGAAATTTAAGAGTAATAGTTATGATTTATTGTAAATTAAAGAAAGGATCCATCCGCCTCTCAAACAATAAAAGAAAGGAGGATGGGGTAAAACTAGCCAGAACGATACAGTTACTTACCCGTTCTGGAACCTTAAGTCTACCGCCAGAATTCTCCCGACGGGCGAAGATTTCACAATACGCACTATTTATTGTCCTTGAAAAATTGTTATAAACAGAAAATATTTTGTAATTAAATATATTATAATTATTAATATATTTAAACACCGTGGGCTTTTGAGATGGCCCTATTTTCTTTAATCAATTTCCTAAGTTAATTCCTCAAACCATTAAAACAGGGCGGACGCGGCAACAACCGAAACCGGCCGGTCTTTTGACAAGAAAGGATTTTTATTAAATTTATTTCCCCACTATTTTAATTTTTGAGACGACCCCGCGGATTTCGAGGTGTTTAAAATTTTATTTTACGTCCGGCCAAATTGCTTGTATAAGCATACAATCAATTTGGATCCTGTATACCGGACGGGAACGTTATAGGAAATTTAAAAAAATTTTAATCCGACAGAGTTCAAGTCTCTGTGCTGTGGGAAACCGTACTGTTCTCAAATTTTGAAAATGGCCTCCGTGGACTTCGGAGTAATTTGTATTTTTATTTTCGTCCGACCGAATTATTCGTGTAAGCACACAATTAATTCGGATCCTCGGTATCGGACGGGAACGTTATAGGATTTAAGAAATTTCTTTTACACCGATGCCAGAGTCTAGCCTCTGGGGGTCGCGGCAACCGAACTGAACAATTTAGATATCTAATTAATGTGCTTATATAGTTTTACTTCCTTAAGAAATATGGAAAGGTGGGGACAGGGCGTTGGTCCTGTTGCCATGCCAAAATTGCTGAACTTGCATTTTGTGGAATCGGTTCATTGCACTATGTTGAAATAAATTCCTTTTTCTTGTATTCTTAGAAAGAATATTTTCTTTTTAATATTCTTTTAATTATTGAAACAATTTTTAATTTGTTTATTTATTTATTTTTTTAATTAATCTCTTAAAATAGGATTAATGTAAGTTGGAAATAATGGACATTTCAAAATAGAAATTCCATTCTATTTTGTAACCCTAAAAAAAAAGGTTGTTACAATTCCAACGTTAAATCATTTGTCAATAATTATTTTAATGTGCATTGGAATCTTCCGCAAGTTTGCAATTTATGGCGGGCAAGGTTTATAAGCTAGGTTGGTACAGGGAAACGAGAGATAAATTATATTTTTGAAAGAAAAGAAATAATAATAGAATTAATAATAATAATAGCCTAAACGTTCCCATCTTTATATATCGTATAATTGTTAATTGTATAAATATTTTTAATTAAGGTTGGGCCATCATTCACCCTGTATTTAAAGATTTAAAGAATTAAAAGATGCATTTTAATTTTTAAAAGACGATTACAATAGTATTCGCCATTGGTAAGAGGGAGAAAGAGCTACAGGACAGAAAGAGTACGCAATACTCTGTAAGAACAATATGCCTGAGAGAGAACGCTTCGATGCTATACACAATCTTCTTTCTCTCTCGCACAATGTCAAGGGGAGCGTGGGGAGCGCGGGAAGTCTTCACTCAACGCGTTGAGTGTAGCCTCACGTCTATTCTTCGTGTATATATATATATATATATACATATATATATTGTATTTTATTATTTTAATTCTAATATAGTTAATAATTTTTCCTTTACATTTTATTTTAAATAAAATAGGCAACATATATATATATATATATATATACACGTATACACACACACTCATTTGCTTATGTAGTTGTTGTTTCTTGAATCATAAAAATAATAAAAATGATAGCCCTTGATTAATTGATTTACCTGAAAGTCATGAAAATAAAACAATTTAATTGCTGAAATAGTACTTTCAGACGGAAGAAAAGGCTTACGGTCTTTGAACCGAGTTCATTTTCTGCGCGATTTCAAAATGCTAAGCATGCATTTCATTAATTACTTTTAATTAATGATAAATAAAATATAAAATTTTTGTAAAATTTTTGTTACGATAATGTGGCGTAACAAACCACCGTGGAAATTCCGTTTTTCGTCCCCGAAAGCAAGTCGCAATGAAAATGAACTTGGGTTATGACATAAGTTTCATGTCTTTCAGGAAACGCATAAATACTTCATGTGATAAATGTTTTTCTTTTATATTTAAATTTGTAGTTTTATCGTAGAACAATAGTTGAATGTGAGCTTTGAATAACAATTTGATTTTTGTTTATTTGTTTGTTAATCATCTGTGTTAAAGAGAAACATTTATCTCATGCATGTTTTCAAAATCACACATACAAAAACAGTAAAGATCCACCTTAAATTAAGTATATCACTAATTTTGTTTAACCTATCCATTTTACCAGTGGAAGTTTAAAATGAACACTCAATGCTTTATAACAGGATACCTTAACTTAAAGAAAATCATTACTCTCATCCTTAATACATAATATAAAATACATTCATCGATTCAAGATTACAATCTTATGTTTTCTCTAAAACGATTACAATCGGACCTGTCGGAATGCAACGCTACTTTAAATAGTTTTTATAATTAATAATGTCCAACAAGAATCATTTTCACTTAGTTTTGAAATGTTGTAAAATACCATAAAAATTGAATTATAAGATAATTTTATAAATTCTGTTGTACCAAAAAAAAATTAAAAATATCGAGTTGCACTTCGGCAGGTTATACTGTAAATTTTAGGCATCGGAGAAGTTTATTTATTTATTTAGAAAGAGGATGATTTTAATAATTGTTTTTTTTTTTAGTATGTGTATTTTAAGTTTATACCCCTTTCTAAATAATTTATATTTTAGTCTGGAAAATTTTATAAGATTTACAATATTGTTTACGTGAAATAATTGAATTTAATTTAGACAAATAATTTAGTAATTTAGATGCGTAAACATTAATTTTCCATTTTAACTGATAACACACGTCAAACGAATTTTAAATGTTTAACATATAAATAAAATAAGAATAAGAGAATTTTTGTCTCATTGTGTTATCTACTATCTATCAGAAGAGAAAGATACATTTATTTGAGGTGTGTTATCCTTGTCTGCATTTACCAAATAGCAATCGAATTAGGTTCGTTGATAAAAAAAAACGAAAGAAGAAGAAAAGTACTCCTTCACCAGTGGGTTTTGAGTGACTGATGACGATCCACTTCTGGTTTTTTAAAATTTTGTTGAATGGGCCCTTGATTTGCTCATTCAGCTGAATATAAATATTCGAAATTATGTCTGTCATATTGGGAATAGAAGTTGCGTCATCAATTTTATTTAGACCTAAAATTTAGACAAAAATTGTTAATAATAGTTTCAGTGGAAAATAATGGTTAAAATTGGCAACCATTATTTTGTTATTACTTGTCAGGAATTTTGAGTTGTTTTCATGTATTCGTATAGTATGTCTTGGTCTACTGTGAATATTAACTGATTATATATATATTTTTTATAACTTTGGTCTGAATTGGGCACAAAGAGTATCAAGATTCATCCACGGTTAAAAGTGATGTTTACATCACCACCGCGGATAATTCCTGGCACAAATTCTCCTTTAAATAAAATGCTTTATGAATTTTGTCTTATATTGTTAGGTTATGTTCAGAGTTTTCAGTGAGTCACGTTTCGTTATGTTGTATTCGTTAATTGTATTCGTCACGTTGAGAGGCAAGAATATTATTTATTATAAAATAAACAACATTCCTGTTATATAAAAAAAATATTAAAAAAAAAGATATATTGCAAATAAAAACATAGCTCTCCATTTTGTCTCAAAGAATACTCCAAATTTAATATATTTGATGAGATTAAATTTCATTTACATTGTGTTATTAAAATTACTTATTTTAGCGCGTTATTTTCATCATACAAGAGAAAGAAATGAGAAAAGTCATTCTTTTAATCACTCATCTTTATAGGGTATTTGTAATCACGGTACTTTTATGCGGGGATGATTATGATGTAACACCAAGTAACCTTTACCTGCCTTTCCGTAAGTGTCCCCTAATTTAAAAAAAATGACCATTAGTTTGACCCATCCTTAATTCTCTCAAATGCAGGCGGCAAAATTGCTATAAATAATTGACTACTTTCTTTCATAACCTTTATAACAAAGGTGGAAAAGAAGTCATAAAAATATTAATTATTAATTTAATTAATTAAAATTGATTTTAAATTTTGAGGAGAAAAGAATATAAAGGAGCAATAAGATTATTAATAAAAATTATATTTTAATCGAAATTTATACATTTCTTTTTCGCCACCGCGGAATATTCCTGTAAATTTGTTTCCAGAATAGAAAAGGAGATAAAATTTAAGCAATTTTAAATAATGATATTAAAAGAGTGGATGTGTATATATTATATGTTCTTTATATATTGTTGAATACTAAGATTTCGAGAAGAAAATTTCTGCCGTGTTGCAAAAATATGATCCTGAGCCCCAACTTGAAGCGCATTATCGTTACATCCTTTTAGTACTGAAAGAGTTCTCAAACAAGAAGGTGAGAAAAGAATAATAATAAAAATGGAAAGTGTAAATGTATTTGAATTTTCCGCTGCAATGACTGCATTGGAGTTAGTTCGAAATAATGTGACTGATAGTGATTCTTTGCTGTCATTTAAACAAGCAGAAATTCAACAGAAGCTGCAAACCAGAATCCGGAATGGCGAACGTGGGTAAGTTTACTTATGTTCTCTTTTTTTTTTTTTGATTTCTTTTACTATAAGTATTTTATTAGTAATTGTAATTTAGTTATATTATCATAATTGTCCAAGATTGTTAATATTTCGTTAGGATTAATAATTAAAAAATTTTTTTTTTTTATTATTATTATTAATTGTTAAACCATTTATAAACAAGATAATTATTTCTAAAAGCTTTACAAAAATTATTTTCTGATAACGATTAAGAACATGATTTAAAGGAAATCAATTTTATGGTTAATAGATCATTTCCATTATTACAATATGTATAAGACACAAACTGAAAATTTTTTTTTTAGTGTTCATGTAACTGTCTCACACTGGAAAGAGGCACCTCCTAGGGCTGATTGGCATTATTGTTGGCCCTTGGACGAAGAGGCGTCCAAAGGGACTCCCTGTGCCCAAGAGGATTACACTTGGACACAAGAATATCGTTGGGTATGGGGACAACGTTATGAGACGAGGAATTATTGGTGTCCCTCGTCATTCATATTTCCATCAGTGATTGCCATTCCGCAATCAGAGCAAATGGAGAAAGTCATTGGTCCGTTGGGCGTAAATATCTCCCAATTGTAAGTAATACGTTTATTAAATATTTAGTAAATTCTTCCACAATTATTTAATAAATTAACTCAACCGACCCCTGGAAGACGCACACAAAAGGCAAAAGAAAAACACTCTATACACGTCCCCCAAAAATCGAGAGAAAAAAAAATCAATTTAATATTACATTTATTTTAATAAAATGTTAATCTATATATATTTGTACCTTACTTTCTGTTCTATTTCAGCGATTATTGTCATATTTATGCAATTCCACGGCGTCGGGGATACCGCCCTGTAAACCCGGCGATTGAATTGATTTTTATACAGGAGTATGAAAAAGATTGGGAAGAATTAACCTTATTGCGTCATCGCTGGGAAACAGTGAGTAACAAATATACTAACTACTTGAAAAATTAATATACGAGTTTTTCTTTCTTTAATGTTGCTTTCTCTCCCCTTTTTTTTTTAGAGATGGGCTGTGGAATTGAACACCGTTTGGTTGGGGTGTTAAAATAAGGTTGGCTGGGACATGTATAATCAGGCAACGTGTTTTATAAGTATTAAATAAGCAATAAAAATTATTTTATATCAATGTCTTATTTTAACGAAACTTTAAACAACACAAAAAAAAAATTGTGGAACTATATTAATGTATTTTATAAGAATTGACATTCAAGTATTCTAGTGTAACCTTCAGGTGAATTCTTGAAATAAATATGGTAGTCTCTTTTATTTTTGCAATTCTGCTGACGTGTTTAATTCATGATCCCACGTCTTTATGTTAGTACACACATTAGTATATAAATTGTAACTTTTCTCATTTAACTTATTTATTCATTTGTTTTAAAGAGGTCTTTCTAGATTTGAAATTATTTGTTAAGAATCCATCAAATCATTTAAAACTTTAAGAAAATTAAGGTTTAATACTATCTTAAAATGAAACAAATTGTTCGATAATAATTAACGTCATACCAATTTTGATTAGTTATGATTTAAGAGAGGGAATAAAATTCTAGATTTTAATATAAAAATAATTATGATGCAAGAGAAAAACAAAAACAACAACCAACAACCAATTACGACAACCTTTAAATTTTTAATATCCAAACAAATATGTCAATAACGGCTAGGGTCATATTACTAGATTTTATTTTAACTAAAATCAATTATTTCTCATATATATATTTAAATAAGTACAATTAAAAGCTTCAAATTTTGTTTTGTTGATTATGATCTAAAATTAAAAAAAAAATGCAAGGTCAAGAGACAATTATTTGTTTAGTAATATGCATATATTTTTAATACCATATTTATTAAATATTATTTATAACCATAACATTAAATCATTAATTATTTATTTATTTTACTTAAATAAATTTTATTTATAATTGTTTATTAATCTGTTTATTTGTTAATGTAATTATTTCATTACTAAATCTACATGTTAAACATATTATAATATTCTTAAATATTAGAATTAATTAATTAGTTAATTATTGTGTTATCATTACTAATACATAGCATATTATTTATTGTATTAATAAATTTAATATTTTTATATTGTACATCTTATTGTTATTGTTGAAAATTTATTAATTGGGAAATTAATAAAATAAAAATGTTGAAAATTAATTGCAATTAATGCTAAAAATCATATCGTTTAACTATAATTTTAATAAAACTTATTTTTAACTAAATTCAATTATTTACATATAGGAATAAATTAAAATAACATTTTATAAATTCACTTTTGTTAAATTACTTATTTAGCTTTTTTTTTTTTTCTTCTAAATGATAATAATTATATTAATAATAATTTTTTTTATTATTGTTTGTTATAATTTTATTTACACATATATTTTTTTTTTTATATGCTAAAACTTCTATCCTAAGAATTCTACTATATATATATATTTTTATTTTTTTTATTTTTACTTAATTTATTAAATTTATAATTATAATTTAATTAGTGATTGTAGAAATAATATAAACTAGCCATCCACCTGGACTTAGATAGCTAGTGTTATTATCATGTCTATTATTTTTGAAAATCCTTAATTATATTTGTTGATCATATTATCTTTATTAAATAATTAAGTTTTACTTTCATTTATATTTATTTACTTATCGATTATTATTTATAATATAAAAAAAACTTATTTACAGTTTAGCCGATATTACAATTTAATTGACTTAATTTTATTTCGAGGTTGATGTTTTGATTTATCATGATTCTTAAATCCTTTGAAAGAATCACAAATATTTTAATTTTTTTTTTTGTAACTGTTTTTCTTTTCCATTAATAAAAGACATTTATTAACTGTTAGTAAAAAAAAATAAAAATAAATTTTTAGTTGTATTGTATTGAAATATTAATTTTCAAGAGAGAGAAAAAAAGTTGAAATAAAAAAAAGATAATTTAACAGATTGTTATTTACTATTAGTTGTATTTGAGTATTTCTTAAAATTATGCGGAAGATTCTAATTACAAGGACGTAATGATGTGACCCAGTATACTCGCGTTTAAAGAGTCATGGTCGTTCTTTGTAACTCGATACATGAAGAATGATGACAAATACTTTCTTGCATTTAATAGAGGAAATAAGAAAACAATTATAAAATTTAAATCACACCCTTTTTTTTAGGAATCAAAGAAATTTTAAATTAAAATTGCAAAAATTTTAAATTTATAAAATTAGATATTTATGAATTCCAAATGACAGGTTTCTTTTCAACTGTTTTTTTTTTTGATAGAATAAAATTGGAGTTGCGATATTTTTTTTTTTTAATGTTAATAATCTATTGTTTATATTGCCACTAGAAAAATATTTTTTTTTTTTTTTTTTATGAATAATTAGATTATTCTTGGAGACAAATTGGAGAGCATTATAAACCAATTAATTCATAACTGATATTTTATTCATTTGCATACAAAAAAAATAAGATGAAATAAGGAAAAGCATATAAGGAAAAATATTTTCCTTTCTTTCCCGATTCTAATTCCATTTTTAAATTAGTGATTATTTTTCATCGCCACCGCGGAATATTCCTTGTAACTTGCATGGAATACGCATAAAAAAAATGGAAATGGAATCAAGAAAATACTTATTCTCTTATAATATGTGATTCTAAATTTTGATTCTGTGTTAAAACAGAAAAGTCCAAAAATAAAAAAAAAGAAATTCTCCCCAAAAAAAATTAAAGGAAAATTGTTAGTTGGAAAATGAAAGGTTGCAGGGAAAATTGTCTGAGAGAGTCGGAGTTTAAAATTTCTACAGCTTTTCCATTTACTGCATTTTTTTTTTCCTATTTATTTTATAGTAAAAGTATAATTGGTTTGATTAAAATTGTTATATTTGATTTTATTTTGAAATCTAATCTTTCTGCAAGTTCCTTTATTTCTCGCAAATGAAATAATTTGTTAAGTATTTTATAATAGAATTTCGGAGACTTGTCTTCCAGTGAGCGTATCACGGAGACTTGTCGTCACGGACTATCTACGACAAAATCAAAATTAAACGTATAATTTTAATTTTTAACTTATAACAAATTTTTCATTCGAAAAAGAATGATTAAAGAAATTGCATTAGGATTATAAATTGACTATTCTTTTTGCGAGTTCTCTTTCCTGTTTGTCCAAAATTACTCGACATTGTCATTTTTAATAGCGACAAAAATTCTTCTTATTCTTTCACAAACAAACTATATTTTTGAGTACTTTGTAATAGAGTTTCGGAGACTTGTCTTCCAGTGAGCGAATCACGGAGACTTGTCGTCACGGACTATCTACAACAAAATTAAAATTAAAAATCAAACGTCTAGTTTGAATTTTTAACTTGCAAAAAAAAATATATATATATTATACTTGAGAAAGAATAATTAGAGAACTTATTGAAAAATAAAAATTAAACAACACCTTATTCCTTTTATAGAGTGATATATTATTTTAGAATTATTTTGTGATAGAATTTCGGAGACTTGTCTTCCAGTGAGCGAATCACGGAGACTTGTCGTCACGGACTATCTATAACAAAATTAAAAATTAAAAATTAAACGTCTAGTTTGAATTTTTAATTTTTGAGAAAAAGAAAAAAAATATATATATTTCACTTAAGAAAGGATAATCAGAGAATTTACTTAAAAACAGACCAAAACACTTATCCTCTCAACAAAAAGGAATGTATTATTTAGGATTATTTTAAGAGTAGAATTTCGGAGACTTGTCTTCCAGTGAGCGAATCACGGAGACTTGTCGTCACGGACTATCTACAATTAAGGTCCCAAAATTGAATTAAAATAATTTTTAATTCTATTTCAACATACCCATTGTTAGAAAGAAGGAGGTGATATAGAGAAATTTGAAAATTTAAAAATAAGAAAGAATTATTAAGTGAAAATTTCGAAAGGAAATAGAAATCCCTTATAAGAAAATTCCTCCCTTAAATTCTGAGGGGTAGCAACGTCAGGAAAAATCCCACCGCTGCCACCATCAGTTTGTTACGAACGAGAAAATATTTAAATAATTAATATAGTTGATTTAACTATAATGATTATTTTGGGCTTTTGAGATGGCCCTATTTTCCAGTTTGTTGGAGGAATTCAAACTGCCAGAGCGTGAGCTCTGTTTATCTTACTGGGATTCGTGTTTCCTAGTTGCCGAAAATTCAGAAATTAATTAAGGAGGGGGGGGGGTAAGGAGAAATATAAGAAATTAAATAGAAAGAAAATTAAGAATAATAGTTATGATTTATTATTGTAAATTAAAGAAAGGATCCATCCGCCTCTCAAACAATAAAAGAAAGGAGGATGGGGTAAAACTAACCAGAACGATACAATTACTTACCCGTTCTGGAACCTTAAGTCTACCGCCAGAATTTCTGCCGACGGGCGAAGATTTCACAATACGCACTATTTATTGTCCTTGAAAAATTGTTATAAACAGAAAATATTTTGTAATTAAATATATTATAATTATTAATATATTTAAACACCGTGGGCTTTTGAGATGGCCCTATTTTCTTTAATCAATTTCCTAAGTTAATTCCTCAAACCATTAAAACAGGGCGGACGCGGCAACAACCGAAACCGGCCGGTCTTTTGACAAGAAAGGATTTTTATTAAATTTATTTCCCCACTATTTTAATTTTTGAGACGACCCCGCGGATTTCGAGGTGTTTAAAATTTTATTTTACGTCCGGCCAAATTGCTTGTATAAGCATACAATCAATTTGGATCCTGTATACCGGACGGGAACGTTATAGGAAATTTAAAAAAATTTTAATCCGACAGAGTTCAAGTCTCTGTGCTGTGGGAAACCGTACTGTTCTCAAATTTTGAAAATGGCCTCCGTGGACTTCGGAGTAATTTGTATTTTTATTTTCGTCCGACCGAATTATTCGTGTAAGCACACAATTAATTCGGATCCTCGGTATCGGACGGGAACGTTATAGGATTTAAGAAATTTCTTTTACACCGATGCCAGAGTCTAGCCTCTGGGGGTCGCGGCAACCGAACTGAACAATTTAGATATCTAATTAATGAGCTTATATAGTTTTACTTCCTTAAGAAATATGGAAAGGTGGGGACAGGGCGTTGGTCCTGTTGCCATGCCAAAATTGCTGAACTTGCATTTTGTGGAATCGGTTCATTGCACTATGTTGAAATAAATTCCTTTTTCTTGTATTCTTAGAAAGAATATTTTCTTTTTAATATTCTTTTAATTATTGAAACAATTTTTAATTTGTTTATTTATTTATTTTATTTTTTTTTTTAATTAATCTCTTAAAATAGGATTAATGTAAGTTGGAAATAATGGACATTTCAAAATAGAAATTCCATTCTATTTTGTAACCCTAAAAAAAGGTTGTTACAATTCCAACGTTAAATCATTTGTCAATAATTATTTTAATGTGCATTGGAATCTTCCGCAAGTTTGCAATTTATGGCGGGCAAGGTTTATAAGCTAGGTTGGTACAGGGAAACGAGAGATAAATTATATTTTTGAAAGAAAAGAAATAATAATAGAATTAATAATAATAATAGCCTAAACGTTCCCATCTTTATATATCGTATAATTGTTAATTGTATAAATATTTTTAATTAAGGTTGGGCCATCATTCAC